TCCAGGGCCTTGTACGTACTCGCACCAATCTGCCTTCCCGCTGTTTGGCTGCAGGGCCGGGCGTGTCTCTGTGGGCCCCGGGAAATGGGGGTGTGTTAGCGTCCAAGAGGGCGTGGCCGCGTCCAGAGTGGGAGCTGCCGCCCCTCCCTGCTGGTACAGACTGTGCGCCCCAAACCGCAGCTCCCTCGGGAGGGCTGGACTGGGGCCCGGACACAGAGGAGTCAGCTCTGGTGACATGCTAGACACGGGCTTGGAGGAGCAGGCGTGGCTGGGAACAGCTCGAGCCGGTGGCAGGTGGCACCTCCCGCGCGTCCAGCCCGGGATGTGGGGGTCTGTGCGCTCCCGAGGGCATCCTCAAGGGGCCCCTCGGCTTGCCCTGCCCTCGAACACTCTGTCCTGGTTTGCGATGTCTGAATGAGATGGTCCACCTGCTGCCACCCCGGAGCCATGCTCCTGGGCCCAGCACGGCGGCAGGCTGAGAGGGCTGGCAGGACCGGCTGCTCTGTGCAATGGAAATAAAGGCAAGAATCCAGGGCAGCTGACCTCCACCCCTCACACTGTTTCCCCGGCTTGTGCCTGCCTGCTCCTTGGGTGTCTCACTGGGTTTTCAGGGAGCCTGGTTTACCGTGGAGATGTCTGATGGGTTGATAGCCCCAGGTTCAAGGCAAGGAACTTGGGGGCAATCCATGTTGGATGTTATATGGAAATTTCTCTCCAGGTCACTTTATAGAGCCTCAAGTAAACAATTCTTGCAGAGAAACAAGTGCCTTCTCTCAGTCTCACGGGCGGTCTTGTCACCCACATGCCTCAGAGGTTGGCACGTGCTGCCATCAATCCATGCCCTCACTGGGTGGTTGGGAGGACAAGGACCTTGCAGTAAGCAGGGACCCTTTTGATAATGGACGTCCACAGCCTCCATAGCCACATCAGGTCAAAGTCACATGACCCTAACATCACACACATTCTGTACAAGACATCCTTCCACTGAGAGGAGGGTGGGTTAGAGACAAGCACTAGCCGGCGGGCAGGGCAGCAGTGCTTGGATACACATCAGCAGGAGGCCCTGCTCCGAGGGCCCCGCGCTGCCTATTGGAGAGCTTATCCAGGGTCAGGCAGGTGCCTTGATTGTCCAGCTGTGGGACTGGGGGAAGAAAGCTGCCCTCTAGTGTCCCACCCAAGATCACCAGGGAGCGAGGGGTAGGGGCTGCCCAGAGGCTGGGCTCTCCTTTCCAGAGAGATGCCCTGGACTTACTGGGATGTGAGGGCAGGGGCTGAAGCAGGAGCTGTGAGCCCCCTTTCTGACTGTCACCCCTCACTGGGGCTGCGTTCCATGTAGGTCCCTTCACAAAGCTCTGCTGCTAAGAGAACATCACTGTTAGTCTTGCCCCTGACAGGAAGCTGCCCTTAGCTGCCACCAATACCTTTTTCTTTCTCTTGCTCCTCAAAGAGCTACTGTATAGGCCCCCGTCTCCATCACTGTGACATCACAACACCCCACATCAGCCTAGTGTCAGGCTCAAGGCCCACAGCTGCCCGCTCTGGCCAACTCTTGTCCCTCCGGCTCTGTCTAGTGGCCCCCATTGGATTGAATCAAGCACCCTGCCTAGAACTAAAAATCCTCTGGCAATCCCTTTTGTCTGTTTCACCCTATCATCTACTTCAGAGCAACTCCCATCTTGTATGTCCTAGAGTGTCCTCCAGCTGCTCTCGTCTCTGGAGGATCAGGAGAACAGGCCCAGTGGGCTGGGGCCATCGTTGGCTCTGCCGTGCTTGGCCATGTGAGTCTTCCCTTGGTCAGGGGCTCAGTGGAAACCACATCCCCTTTTCTTACATCCATCCTTCTGTGCTCCTTTTTCATGCTAATCTTCTCTGTATCGTTCCAATTTTAGTATATGTGCTGCCGAAGCGAGCACTGTGCTCCTTTTTCAAATGTAGTAGTGGTTCATACACACACACACACACACACACACACACACTCACACACAATCCATAGTGCAAAAGACCCAACCCACCCTGAACGCAGGAATCCAGGTTGGTGGTTCAGGAGAGGAAGGTAGTCAGGAAGTCTGTGCCTGCATGGCCTCCGCTCCCGGCAGGGTGCATGCTAGGACCCTGGGACCAGGCAGCTGCTCAGGGTCCAGCCCTTCACAGCAGCTCCTCAGATCAGGGAGGTTCAGGGTTGGGATCCTGAGCTACTCAAGGTCCGATTCAGTGGCCAAGCCAAGTGGGAGGACTGGTGGCTCAAGGCCAGAGTACCTTCTTGTGGCTGCCTCAGAAACAAGTGCTAGATCTGCACGTGTAACTTATAAAATATCCTTTATTTATTCAAAGAAACACCTTTTTAAAGATGTTATTGATGCTGTGACCTGGCTTCAAGCCCCGCGTGAGCTGGGCAGCGGCAGAAGCACCTGCTGCGAAGGCCTCTGCGCACCGCTGGGGTTCCGCAAGGGCTGGGGTTCCGCACGGGCTGGGGTTCCGCGGGAACCGGGAAGCGTTGGGACAGCTCTGCCCAGTTGCTTATAATAAAAAATAATTACTTTAGAGGCTTACAAAGAGTATAAGTTAACATTTGTACTGCTGGTACTTGATCAAAAGACTACCATATATTCATTCTAGGAAGTAAATAAGTATTTTAAAGGAACTGAAAACTGGTACTTGTTTAGGGGACTATGTATATTAGAATTTTAAGCATTACTATGGGAGCATAGTGTTTCTCTACAAATTCAGAAATTCCCGTTTATGTAAAATCATACTTCCTGATTTTACTTGGTAAAGAATAAATAAGAACTTCAGTAAGGTACTTTTTTTTTTTTTTTAAGCACTATGGTTTACTCAAAAGTCTAATTTTCTTAGAAATGTTAGGGCATCTCCACCCATCAGTAACCATGCTGACTCTCACACCAGGAAAACCCAGGAACATACGTCGCAATGAGCCGTTTTCACAAGACTTCCTCTCTAATAAACACACACTTTCTCCTCCTCTCAGATGCCGAAGTGCAGATGTGCCAACTGGAGGCGTGTTGCTGAGCAAAGGAGAAGGCTAGCGAGTCTGTCCGGCAAATTAGACTGCACAGTGGGACGGCGTCTGCTTCACAACCCGGACGGGAAGCGGCCATGCTCTCCTCCTCCAGGGGGGCCGAGGCTGGTGGCCTTTACCTGGCATGTAAGAGGGTCCTCATGGGTTAGAACATGAGGGCTTTGGGGGAAAACACAAAAAGCCTCCTTTAAATGGGCGGCCTCTGTGAACGCCTTCACACGCCTCCCCCGGGTAACAGATGCACCGTCTTGTGCTGCGCTGGGCCATGGACCCTCCTCAGCCAGGGCTGCGCCTCCCCCGCTGGCCTGAGCTGCGGACGGTCACCTTCTCCTACCACACTCTGTGGGGCTCTAAAGAGGAGGTCAACCCACACCCAACGCCAGAGAGAATGAAGATCTCAAGCATTTGACTGGATTCAAAAGCCCCGGACACCTTCCATCGGCCTCCCCATTGCACCTGGCTAGGGGCTGTGAGTGAGAACACCCGGTGCTGCCCACAGGGGACGGGCCCAGCGAGGGAATTCCCACACGCAACCGTAACTACTGGCCAGCGTGGGGCCCGGCCCCTCCCCCAAGGGCGCTGGCAGTTCCCCCTCGATCTGAACTGAAGGAAGAGGGAGGACCCTCACCCCGACCCCCGTGTCCAACACCCAACACGGGAATGCACTGATGCTTCTCACAGGATGGAGCCTCAGCCTCTTGCTTTACGGCACCGTTTATGGCACGAACTAGGAACAGCATGTGTCCACACAAACACGACAATTGTACATCATCATCTTTACAATATTAAAGGAGTCATATACACGTCTACAGGCATTGAGAGCATGAGGGCCGGGCGCCCCATCCACCGGGCAGCCGTCTGTGGTTCCTTCGCGCTGGAGGAGCCCGCGCGGCCACGTGTGACAGGCTGGGTGTCCATCGCCGGGCCTGTCGTCTAAGAGGCAGCAGGTCAGTGAGGAGCCCTTGGGGCAAGAGTCCAGATCTTACTGGCAAGCTAGTGTAACGAATTTCATTAGAATTCAGTGTGCATATTAGTGTGGGAAATCAGAGCTGGGGGCGGCTTCCTGAGGTGGGGACCCAGAGGAGCTGCTGACAGGAGGGCCCTGCACCGAGGGGCCGGTTCCTGAGGTAAGGATGCCGTGTGGTCCTGTGGCTGGTCTGGACGGGAAGAGACGCCTCCAACACCCCACGGTGAGGAACACAAGCGACTGGAAGCCTCTGTGAGGTGATCTACCAAGTGTGGCCCAGGGCACAGCCAAGGTGAGGGTCTCAGGTGGTTCCACAGCCAGCCATCCCCCGCACCCAAACCACCCTCCTCCCAGCAGCCCTGCGACCGGGGCCCTGCTTCAGCTCCTGCAGCACTGCCCTCCCTGCACGCCCTAGAGCAGGGACCGGCTGTCCACGCCCCGCTCCCGGCGCTGGGCCGAGCGCCAGGCCACTCTCCCACCGTGCGGTGGGTCTGCGCGTGTCTGGCTGAGAATGAAGCACCAGGTAAAGAAGTGTTGGTCCTTGTCGGCCTCTCTGGCTTGTGCAGTTAGTTGCTCCTGTTTTAAATACTGTAGAAAAATAAGCCATCTCTGATGCAGAGACCCCCTGGAGTCTGCCACAGGTGGAGAAGGACAAACAGCTCCTCTGCGGTGGGCCGGCAGGCCAGCGCCCACTCCGCCAGGGCAGCCCAGGGCCCCGGAGGACGCTGCCCAGGCGGGGAGCCAAGGCACCGGAACTGCCTCTCACCTAGGCAGCCGTGGGCCACACCAGTCCTCCGGAAAGCATGCCTCCAGCGCTCCATTCTGCTGCAAGACACCTGGGCCGCAGGGCTCCCTGGGCTGGCCTCGGACCCCGTCCCACCCTCAGTCTCACGAAGATCGAAGATCGAGAAGCAGGCGTAGGCGGCACGCCCCAGCACTGTCCGCGGGTCCCTGGCCGTCCGCGGGCCGGGGTCCCAGTGGGCACGGAGGCAGGGCCTAGTCCAGGGGCTCCTGCTTTATCCGGACAGCGGTGGGGGTGGGCTGCGGCCGCCGCTCCTCCCGGCACAGCACGTACTCGCTGAACTGGGAGGAGTCCACGCCTCCCCCGCAGGACGCGGCCACGCTGAACCCCCGCTGGAACAGCCTCTCCAGGACCTGCCGGGAACAAACAGGGTCAGCAATGCCCAGCCGCAAATCTGCCTGGCTGGCCTGGTGGGCAGCTGGGCCCTCGCCCGGCAGCTACCTTCTCCTGTTAACACCTCACGGCTCACAACAGAGGTCCAGAACCACCAAGGGGTCAAACAGGCAGGACAGAGGCGGCCAGGCCCTGGGACCCTCCGTGAGCAATCTGAGTGCGCTACAGCCTGCAGGGTCCCCAGCCGGGATCAGGGCGGGAGAAAGAGCCTCAGGGGCCACTGCCTCTTGTCGGGTGTGGCCTGCCCGCCGCACTTAGAGAGAAACCCTGCCCCTGGCCTCTGGGCAGCCACCTGCTTCCCGGAGCTTCAAGCCCCAGATGGTGTGAGGCCTGGGGGCTCGTCAGCTCACAGGAACTGGGGTGGAGAGGAGGAGGCGTCCTCTCTGCGTCTGCGTCTCTGCAGGCCCCCGAGTCCGCATGGGCTTGTGCCCCTGTGCAGGGTGGGTGACACCTGTCCTGAAACCAGCAGGTTCGGAGAGGCAGCCTGTGGAATGTGTGCATGGCAGGGACACTTCCCTACAAAGTCATCGGCCCCACACCTGAAACAGGATGGGAAAGTGGTCCCACTCCGTCTTGAGCTCTCAGACCCATCTGGGGGAAAGCCAGCCGGAATCGCTCGGGGCAGCCAACTGGACGGCCGGTCGGCAGGGAGCGGAAGGGGCTCCAGGCCCCTCCACGCTCCGCCCCGACCTGCCGCTCCTGCGGTCTGGGTTTAATTTGAATCCAAACTCAGACTCTGGGTGTCAAATGAAGCTCTCTTTGCTGAGAGTACTTTGGACATTTTTTATGGAAAACCCTTTTGGAATAAAAAAAAAAAAAAAAGAGTACAGATCAATTTTTTTAAGTCCATCCCCCAGGCGCCATCATTTAATTATGAGCAGGGCATAAATTATGCATCCATACATTGTTGCCTTTTCTGTGAGAGGGCAGGGAGGGAGGGATTCGCCATCTCAGGGGCCGCGCCTCCCTCCCTCTCTGTGCTGCTGGAGGGTTTGGGGGAGACGGGGCGAGGCGGAAGGTTTAGGGGAGACGGGGGCGAGGCGGAGGGTTTGGGGGAGATGGGGGCGAGGCAGAGGGTTGGGGGAGATGGGGGCGAGGCGGAGGGTTTGGGGGAGATGGGGGCGAGGCGGAGGGTTTGGGGGAGATGGGGGCGAGGCGGAGGGTTTGGGGAGATGGGGGCGAGGCGGAGGGTTTGGGGGAGATGGGGGCGAGGCGGAGGGTTTGGGGGAGATGGGGGCGAGGCGGAAGGTTTAAGGGAGACGGGGGCGAGGCGGAAGGTTTAAGGGAGATGAGGGCGAGGCGGAGGGTTTGGGGAGATGGGGGCGAGGCTGAGGGTTGGGGGGAGATGGGGGCGAGGCGGAGGGTTTGGGGGAGATGAGGGCGAGGCGGAGGGTTTGGGGGAGATGAGAGCGAGGCGGAGGGTTTGGGGGAGACGGGGCGAGGCGGAGGGTTTGGGGGTGACGGGGTGAGGCGGAGGGTTTGGGGGAGATGGGGGCGAGGCGGAGGGTTTGGGGGAGACGGGGCGAGGCGGAGGGTTTGGGGGAGATGGGGGCGAGGCGGAGGGTTTGGGGGAGATGGGGGCGAGGCGGAGGGTTTGGGGGAGATGGGGGCGAGGCGGAGGGTTTGGGGGAGACGGGGCGAGGCGGAGGGTTTGGGGGAGATGGGGGCGAGGCGGAGGGTTTGGGGGAGACGGGGCGAGGCGGAGGGTTTGGGGGAGACGGGGCGAGGCGGAGGGTTTGGGGGAGACGGGGCGAGGCGGAGGGTTTGGGGGAGACGGGGCGAGGCCGGGGGCGGGCGCAGCCCTCACCTGCACCGAGTTGAGCCGGCAGTAGCCGTTGAGCGGGAAGCGGATGACGTGCGTGGGGTCCTGGTTCCAGCCGGCGTTGACGGAGTTGCACATGACGTCCCCGGTCTCCGGGAAGACCTCCTCGATGAGGGCCTTCTCGCCGCTGAGGGCGATGCGCTCGCCCAGGTCGGGCGTGACCCGCACCACCAGGCAGTCACAGGCCCGGCTGCGGCGCCGCTGCTCCTGCTCCTGCTGCCAGCGCTCCAGCTCGCGCACCATGGGCTGCAGCTGGTAGTAGCGGGCCTCCTCGTACAGCAGGCTGAAGTCCTGGGGAGCGGACAGGGGGAGAGGTGGGCGCCGGGGCCGCCGGACTGTGACCCCCTCCCCAGGGCACAGTGTGAACTGGGATGACTGTGCCCATTGTCCAGATGGAGGAAATGAGAAAATGAGGCTCAACTGAACGTGTGCAAGCCCACCCTTGTCCCAAGGGCGGCGGCTGGTGTCCGCCTGCGCTAGGCCCAAGCACTCAGGGAGACTTCACTCCTCCTCACCCCGCGAAGTAGAGAGAAGCTTCTGGAAAGACCAAGAGGCTAGACGGGAGGAGCTGTCCAGGCCGGGGGCCTGCTACCTTCTCAGAATCCCAGCGGGGAGGAGCTCACTTGCCCAGAAAAAGCACGCAGCTCAGCAGGGAGGCAGCACAGGTCTGCCACGGCTGGGTTTCCGGCAGCCTCGTCTGCCCCCTGAAGCCCCATCGCCTGTCACTGAGCTCCTCTGAGCCTGTTCTCTTCTATGAAATGCATGCGGACACCCAGTTCAGGAGGGGTGAGCATTTTAAAGGACAAGGGCTGCCAAGGGCCTGCAGCCCCTGAACTAGCAGCTGTGTGAGGAGGGCTGGGGAGGGGCGCCCATCTCTCACCCGGCAGGCAGCCCCCTCCCAGGACAGACGGGCCCACACAAACTCTCCCTCAAACACCCGTCACCCACACCTGCCCCAGCCCGGGGTAGCCAGGAGTACCCATGACTCATGCCACTCAATGGGGCTCAGACCAAGATCAACCGGTGAACCTGAGGCCCCCTGGGGAGAGGCAAGGAAGCAGGACCCAAAGCAGGGCCTACTGGCATCTGCCGGCCCAGCCTCTGGAGCCTCCTCAGGGTCCCTCAGCCCCGCCCTGGGCTTCTACTCACAGCTGCTCCTTAAGCGATATCTGCACAGCACACAGCTCCCACCTTTCCCCAGCCCAGAACGCTTTCACCCAACGTCCCACCGGCATTCCATGCAGGAGCTGGGTGCCATGCTCCCCCCAGCCTCTCCCCCTGCTGGGCCTCCACAGTCCACTCAGTCAGAAGCTGCAGACGGGGGAGCACCCTCAGGAGCCCCTGACCTCCACCCCCCCCCAACCCCTGGCCTTTCTTAAATATGTCTAACCTGCCACCTGCCTCCCTCTTCCCTGCCTCCACCCTGGTCCAAAGCCTTCAAATAACCCCTCTTGGCCTCTTGCTCCCACCCGCCCTCCTTACATCCTCCTCCCCACAACAGCCAGGGTGATCCATTTGCAAACCTGATGGTCACTCCCCCAGCTACCCCTCCTCAGGACCCTTCCACTGCATTCAGGGTGAGACGCCAAATGCTGAACCAGCCACCCAGGTCCTGGCATCACCCAGCAGCCTCTCCTCCTGCCCTCCCCGTTCACACAGCACCGTGCCTCCTACCAAGGCCCTCACACCTGTGTGTCCCCTTCCTCCTCCACCTCCCAGAGAAACATCCTCCCTGACTCCTTCTCTGCGTTGGAATTCTGAGGAATTCTAGTGTTTTTTGTCCAACATCTGTCTTCCCACCACATCTTAAGTGCTATGGGGACAGGGCCTACGTCTGCCTTGCTTCACTGTATTTTCAGCCTAAGTTTGGTTGTTGGGCCCCAGGAACTAAGTTGGATGGAGGACAAAGCAGTTCCAGGGTCACTGGTCCTCTGGGCGCCAAAGGAAGAAAGGCCACGGGCTGCTGAGTGGGGTAGCCCCGGCCACGAAGGGGACCAGCGCCGAGGCGGGATTCTCAAGACCTGGACGGGTCACCTTTTGTTTGAAGGGTGTTTGCTTTGGATCTGGGTTCCCTCCCTGCAAACGGCCACCAAGAAACAGACCTAGGAACCGCTGACTCCTGTAACTCCCACACACAAGTCTTCAACGCGACAAATGTGAAACCAGGGTAAGTGCCACTGCTTAACTGTTGTCACACCCTGATAAATAAGCTAAAAATGTGAGAAAACAAAATTAGTTTAGAAAAACTGATTTAGCCCTTGGCTTCATCGCTTAACTTTTTATGGTTGCTATGACGACCGTGGGTCCACTTATTAAGTCACAGCGTCCCCTGTGTAATGCCACCGCGCAGGCATCGGGGTTGCCACCGGCTACAGACTTACCTTGAAGTCATCTGGCAGCAGCAGCTTTGACGTCCGCAGGAAGCTCAGGACGTAACGGAAAATCTCCCCATCCCGGTCAATGAAGTAGTGCTGCTTCAAACTGTCCAGGACGATGGGCTCAGTGCCATTGAAGAGGCGGCTTATTCTGGGAGAGATTACAGAAGGGCGGGATGTCTGATGGAAGGGCCAGTCCACCTGCCCCGGTCCCACCCCCCAGGGCCTGCCCTGCCGGAGGGATGAGGGGCCTCACAGGGGTGACTGACACTGGACCACGCCTGACGATGTCTGTATGCACAGGAGGCAGCCAGGCCACAATCAGACAGGACTCCAGCACAGCAAGCATCACCAGCCTCACGCAGGGAGACACACCCAGCTACATCCACCCGCCTGCTACCACGTGTTACAGGCCTGGAAAACTACAGCAAGACACGGACACAGCCTCCTTGCCCCCACACACCAAACCTAGCCAGACAGACCCACCCAAAAGTTCCCACCAACCATCAGACACCCTAGCCCACAGCCACACACGCAGTGAACACATGTAAAGCAGCCCAGACAGTCTTGGGTCCCACACATCCATGTCATCCAACCCACAGGAACGAGCATCAGATGTGGCACGTCTGGGGAACAAGCACAGGGTCACATGGTCCTTCCCTCACAACACACAAATCACAGGTGGACCTAGACACATCTGGACAAAGGCCACACCAGCCAGCACGAGTCAAGCTATGCACATGCGCAAACTCACAGATAAAAACAACAGCCACGCATCCCGGGAGCCCTAGGGGTGATCCCAGGGAGGCAGGAGTTCTGCACACATGCTTGCATGCTACAGGACACACACATACATACACACCACTACGTATGCACAAAGGTGTGCACACCTGGGAGGGGAGGCAGGACCCAGCACCCTGTCCTCTGAAGGGCAGTGGTTCTGACAGAAACTCAGGTCTAGAGGAGCCCTTGAGGCTGGTCTGCATCTACTCCAGGAGGAGGGAGCCTAAGAGCCAAGGCTTTGGCCTCCCGAATGCCCAGGGCAGCAGGCTTTGGCTTGGCTGACTTCCCCTGCAGACCCAGGCCCAGCAATGGACAATGAGGAGCCACAAAGAGGGGTGCTGACAGCCAAGAGCTTGACTCAGAAATAGGAGGAAGGTTGGCAGGGTCTTCCCGGCGAGTACCTACAGACACCCTTCAGCAGGCGGGGCGCACACCTGCCCACTAGACCCTCCCACAGCTGCAGCTCCTCTGCACAGCCTGGGAGAAGGTGGTTCCAGCCCATACAAGCTGATCCCTAAGCCCCTCCCTCTCTGCCTGGCATGGACCTTCCAGGACATGCCTCTCTCCCCTCTGTCCACTCAGGTCATTATGCCTGAGGCCCTGCCATTGTGCACCAGGGCACACGAGCTGGGCAGAAGCTGAGAGGTTAGGGCCCGAAAGCCTCTTCCAGGGCCTCCGGTCTGCACCGTCCTCCACTCCGGTGACCTGGCATATTCAAGCATCAGCTGTGAGGGGTCTGCCCAGTGTGGAACAGCCTAGCCCCTGACCAAGTGGGACTGTATAGAAGGACAAGGCTGCCCAGCTGGTGTGGCTCAGTAGGTGAGCGTTGACCTATGAACTTGGGAGCAAGAGTTCACAGTTGGATTCCCAGTCAGGACACATGCCTTGGTTGTGGGCTCAACGCCCAGTAGGGGGCGTGCAGGAGGCAGCCAATCAATGGTTTGCACTCATCATTGATGTTTCTCTCTCTCTCTCCCTCTACCTTCCACTCTGAAATCAATAAAAATATGTCTTAAGGAAAGAGGAAAGCTGCCTCACGGGTGGGCACCAGCAGGTCAGGGCCTGCAGAGGTGTGGAGGCCAGAGCCTGTGGAAGCAGATCTCAGGGCTCCACAGGCCATCGAGCCCTACCAACCCCCCTAGGCCTGGGGACGACAGTACTGGGGGGCACAGCCCACTGGAAAGCCTTGTGGGCACCATGGCCTGTCCCAGCAGTCAAAGCCCCTAAGACCTGGCCTCCGCAGAGCTTGGGTGTTCAAATGTCAGACTGAGGGCCGCCCAGCATCCCTGGAGGCAGGTGGGACAGCCCAGGGCCTCCACATGGCACCAGCAGACAGGTGAGCAGCCACTCCTAAGCCCCGTGGAACGTGCTCCACCCTTCCTGGCTGAGCTCAAACCCCCTGTGCAGCCAGCAACGCTCTCGGTTTGGCTGCGTGGCCGGTCCCTCTGGTGTCAGGGCGGCTGGGGCTCCAGACCGGCCTGAATGTCCACAGGACTCGGAATCCACCCACATCCTGGGGCTGATAGGGCTCCCGGTTGCTCATTGGCCCAAGACTAGAAGGTGTTCAGTCTGTCTTATTTCAGGACTGGCTGGTTCTCGATCTTTCCATGATTCACTGTATCTTCACAGGACCGAGGCTCTCATGCCCTTGGGGTCTGAGGCTACAAGAACGTGAGTAGGTTGAGGGAAGGTTAGGCCAGTCACCACAAAGGAGCAGCAGACACTCACAGGGGCCCCGGGCCAGCCTCCGAGGGTGCCAACTTCAGAGGCTTCCGGGGAATGGGCTGGCCATCCTGACCCAGCTGACAGGGATCTTCTCTCTATTTTTTTAAGCTTTGGCTCCAATTTCCTCAGTGTTTCAGGGGAAGGTTTTATTAGTTCTGAGGCTTCTGGACATCTCAGCTTGTTGCTTCCCGCAGCCAGGAGGGAACAATGTCTAGCAGGCAGGCGTGAGTGGGGTCAGCCCCAGGGAGTCTCTGTCCCGCTGCCTCTGAGCAGGGACTGACTGACAGCTGTTCTGGGGCCAACCAGCGGTGGCACCTGCTCCTTGTCAGAACCACCCCACCAGCCAAGGCTCAGAAGCCCAGGTGTCCTTCCGTAGGCCCCGGGGCCTGAGGGTCTGGGGCACGGGTCCCTGGTCTCCCGGCAATGCCCAGGACGGGACTCGAGCATGTTTACACGGAAACTCCCAGGGGACCTAACACGTTTACTCCTCCATTTCCAGGTGACTCACAAAGCGATCCTGGGTAAGGAGCCCAGAGCCCTGGTTTGGTTTCCAGAAACTGATGAAAAAGTCGTTTTAATTTTAACGATTTGCTCAAAGAGAGATGAGAGGGATCTGAGGGGCCCTTGCCAGCACAGCCGCCTGACCCTCTGGCTCCTGGCTGTCCCACAAGCCCCCCGGCCCCGCGCCAACGCTGCAGGCGAGGGCAGCAGGCCGCCTGTGCGCCAGGAACCACCAGACAGAACAGCAGAGTCACCTTGAGCCCGGCCTCAGGAAAGAATGCGACTGCCACCTGCTCTGGGTACATCAGCAGCCCCGAGCCGCAGGGACCTCAGCTCCCAGCCAGTGGGTCCACCCCACCTCACAGCAGGACCCCAGGGCAAGGACAAGCTGCACTGTGGGCCGTGTGTGTGTGTGTGTGTGTGTGTGTGTGTGTGTGTGTGTAGGGGGGGAACCCCTGCCCTGCCCTCATGGCTCCCAGGTAGCAGCCTGGACAGCAGAATGAGGAGGCCATTCCCTGCGGGCCTGGGCTGTGATTACTCCAGAAGGGCAAACGTCTGATTTCAGGAAACTCTCTTCAGAGAGGCTGTGGGCAAGGGTTTTATGAATTTCACTCACAAACGTCGTCAACCAATTAAGGGGTGATCTATCTCAAACAACTCAGGAATGCCACAGAGGGAAAAACTGAAATTAAATAAACCGAATCCATCTCCTGTCCTAGACAGGGCTCTGCATGCCAGCACACAGGCCAGCATGGCTGACGTGGCTTCATGGCTGACACCTGCCCCACCCCCATGGCCAAGTGCACAAGTGCTCCAGGCCTAGCCTCTTTGGGGCAAAGGAAATGAAGCCTCAACCACCATCTGCCCCCAGAGCCCCCAGATTCTGAACTAGACCCTGCACCCCCCCCCCCCAGCTCCCTCCTCGCGTGAGCACTGCAGCCCCACACCAGCCACCCTGACAGCCACCTCCACACACGAGGAGTCCTCTGTGCTCTGAGCAACCGTGCTGACGACAGGCAGCCTGACTAGAAAGCTTCCCAGAGATGATCCCTCGGTGTCTGGGGGATTAATTAACTCCTCTTGCTGTTTTAACTGTATAAAACGGGCGGTGCCTGTGGAGCTGGCCCTCCTGCTGCTCAGCCCTCAGCAGCGACTGCCTCACTGCGCCAGGAGCAAGCAGTTGGGGGTTCAACAAGCAGGGCCCCACATCATCTCCCGGACGGCCTCAAGGGACCCGCCCCAGCCGGCTCAGCCCTGCTGCCCCTGGGAGGGAAATGCCTGAGGCAAAAGCAGGAGCGGGCAGTGCCCAGCGCCTCCCGCAGATGGGCCCACAGGGCGGGAGGACCAGGGAGCTCTGCAGAGTGAGGCGGCAGGCTGAAGGGTCCTTCCTGGTCAGAGAGGGTCCAGGGTCCATTTGCTGATGGAGCACAGGCTTCTGCTTCTCCACAGCAATTACTGTACCACCCCCCTGCCTCTGCCACAGGGAGCCTGCTGCCAGCCCTCAGGGTCCAGCAGTCGCCACACCAACAAAGACAGCAAATTGTAGCTTCCTCTCCTCCCCTGCCTGTGCGATTTCTCAAGGGTTAGAATCAGGAGCAGGATAAATACATAACCCCAAGAAGGACACAGTATTGCTCACACATGGTCCCCTGCAAAGGCCAGGCCTCGGTCCCACTCAGAAGGAACCTAAAGGCTTCTGGTAGGACTGGCTCTGAAGAAGTGGCTTCCGCCAGTGGGTCAGAAGCTCCTCCTAGCACTACCAATGCAGCCAGCTAAGGGTCACAAGTCCCGTGCAAACCAAGCAGACTCGGCCTCCCAAACCCTAGCTCCCCGGGGGAGGTAGGGGTTGGGGGGAAGGGGAAGAGGATTGGAGGGGAGGCTGCAGAGCCTTGCAGGCTGGCTGGCGGAGAAGACAGACATCACTGGTAGAGGCTGCAGATGCTGCCAGTCGCCATGATAAACCTGGTAACACAAGGGGCTCGGCTCTTACCTGGAGTCGGGGTACTTGGTGAGCGTGGCCAGGCTGCTGGTGTACATGTGGCCGCCCACGTCAATGTGCACGGGAGCATTGGACTTGGTGAGCTGGGCTGGCAGTGGGATCCCCTGGGCAGCCAGGGGAGACACGGGTGACCGGGTGAGAGACAACCGGGACATGCTTCCTCCCTCCTAGAGACGGAATCAAGGTAGAAACAAGAGTTTCCTCACCACAGAGCTGGGTACTCCCTTTATTACCAATGTGATCACAGATCTAATCAGATCACTTCGCCTGTGCCTGATCACATATTCAGCTGACAAATTATGGCCACCACTGTAATTAAGTGTATTTGCATCATTCTCTTCAAAGGACCAGAGGGGGAAAGAAAGATGCTTATTAGCAATAAGAAATCAAGAAAAAAAAATTTCAAGGTGTCAGCCTCCAGGGGCATAAAACAAACTGCAAAATTCTAATTAAAGGTCGTGGGCTTATGTGTTAGATGTGAAATATCCCCTGACAAACGAATCACCAATTTGTGAATTGGGATTCAGGGGTTTTTGCAAGTTTGTCTCAGTAACGAGACACCTCTAAATTAGTGACTTCCTCAGCACCTAAGGCGTTGAGTTCTGTACGTGTAGTAAATTTCACATCAAATTAAGAGCATTTTGTTTCAAAAAAATACATAATCATATAGTCAGTCAACAGCCACCTCTTGAATGCCGCTGCTACGAGGAAGGGCAGCCAGCGAGCAGGCCCTCGGGAAGAGGGCAAAGAGGCGACCACCATGCTGACCAGTCCACCCTCTGGCTCTCACCTCGGTTCCGGCGCTGCCTTGGGCGTGAAGCGAGGACCCGCTCGGGCGCTCCTTGCGGTGAGGCATCTAGGCTTCCATCACTGCCCGGAGTATCTGGGAAGCACCGGCAAACCAGACGGTTTACTCCTCAAAGGTCATGGGCACCGAGTCTTCCATGGAGTCAAAGACACTTCGAGCCATCCTTCTCACATGCTCTCCCGGACCCCATGCCTACTACCCAGCGTTCTCCAGATTCCACCCACCGTAACCTATCCCCACACCCTAAAGAATGCATTCAGGCCATAGCAAATCACTTCTCTCTCTCTCTCTCTCTCTCTCTCACACACACACACACACACACACACACTCTCTCTCTCTTTCTCTCAATTTGTTTTCTGAGAGCTCCATGTCTGCTAACTCAGCTAATGACAATACTGAAACATATGCTCACTGTAATTGCTCAAAATGTTTCAGAACAAATCTGATTTTCCCGGTATTTTGGTTTAGAGCCATGTTACCAAGCGTGTCTCCTCTTGTATCACAGAGAACCCTGTGGACCCCTGTGCAGGGAGGGTCCCCCACCCTCTATGAGATGGGAGCTCAGGACCTCTCAGACCCCCAGATGGTCTTGTCTGTGCCTCAGGCCTGCGGGATGATCCTGCCCCCCAGGCCTCAGAGAGCTGGCTAAAAACCCACAGGGGCTCAACAAACGGGTCCCATCTCCTGCTCCTCCCCAGGATCACTTAGCACCTTTCCTCTGCTCCACAAGTCACCTGAAAAGAATTTGTTCCTCAGCAGAAGCCACTCCAGGGCTCTGTGCAGAGCCTGTGAGGAGGGGGGAGGAGAGCAGGCTTATGCAGCCCTTTGCAATCTCATGGGGCTGGGAGGAGGGCATCAGTTACTATCGCCCTCTCCACTGGCCCCGATTTGTCTCTTGTTGGTTTAAATGAGGGTGCAATCTCCTCTAAGGGTTGACTTTGTGCCTTGAAATTCAACATCCAATTTTGAAATATGGACCAAGATCCAACGAGCACCAAAATCATGCAAATGTTAAATAAGGTTACTCTGTCCTGGTCCTGGCAAGTTCCTTGACAGGAACCAGGGTGGGGGTGGAGGTGCTATTAGGGGACAGAGACGGTTCATTTATACCCTCCCTGGGGGTGCTGCTGCTTTTGGCATTCCTGAGTTCCAGTGAGCTTTTTAACACGCAGATCACTTATCTCAAGGAAGTTCTGAGAAACCAAAACAGATCTCCAGAATGGGCTGTCCTGCCCAGGAGGCTCTGTCTGGCGAGGAGTCAGAAGGAAATCTGATGAATCTTCACTCTATCAAAGCCAATGCACACAGTTTTCCCTACTACCAGGACACTGCTCCAAAGTGACATTTAACACCACGCACCCATCACAAAAGCTGCTCCGTGCCATTCCCGCCCGGCCGCTTTCCCACTGCAAGCACAACCTGCCGTTCACAGCAAACCGGAAACTCACCATTGGAAGCCCCAGGCTTTACGCCTTGACCAAAACCTCCAGTGCCCCCTTTGACCAATGCATCTGTGCTGGACAACGACCCTTCCTCCGAGACCACTGCTGAGGTCAGAAGCACAGAGTGAGTGCAGTGAGACACAAGCTCATTCCGCCAACATCAGCACCAAACCCATAACCCAGCAGCCCCAGCACCCGGCCCTCCCGAGGCCGGCCGAACAGCCTGTTGCAGGGCCCACCGGCTTCCAAACTGGCGAGGAATTGACCTGCTTCTGGGAGCTGCGGCGGGAGCCCCAGACCCGCGCCGCCCACCCCGCCGAGCCCCGCCCGCCCGAGCAGAGGGAAGCGAGCAGAATGCCACGCTCATTTACACACAAAATGATTTTGTGTCCCATTGTGCTCGCAGTTGTTCAGCTCTCTGGGGGTGATTAAACTGGCTGAGCTGCGGCAGCTTGAGACGATTTCACTAAATCGCTTCTTCGTGAAGTCGCTTCTTTGCTAAGCTGTTATTTTAGCCATAAAAGGTAAACAGAAGGCGCCTCCCCAGTTCTCTCCGGCTCCGCACCCTGGGCGCCAGCCCCGGGCGATTGTCCGGGGGGCGGGCCGGGAGGGCCCGCGGGCCGCCGGGTGCGCGCCAGCCCCGCCGCGGAGCCGCCGGCCTGAACTTCGGGAGCCCGGAGCCCGGAGCCGGCCGGGCCCGGGCCCGCAGCGCCGCGGGGCGGGGGCGGCCGCGGGGCCGGGGAGCCGGGCAGGGAGGGGAGGGCTGTGCGGCGGGGGCGGAGGATAAAGTTAAATCAAGGAGCTGGCACTTGGAGACCACAGATGGGAAGCTTGCCTAATTAAGGACGTAAAAGCGCTTTTGTTCTCAAAGTTTATTGTTGGCGGGATTAAAAAAATTAATTGAAACTAATGCTGTTATTCTATGCAGTTAAATTCCTTCATGCACATTGGAGGGAGAGAAAACTTAAAGCTTATTCTGCAGGCGGGGGGGGGGGGGTGCGGGAAGACCTAAAGGCGCTCGGACACGGAAGGAGGGGTGTGTGGGGGGGGGGGTCCGGAGCGCGCGTCCCGGAGGGCGGCACAGACCCGGGGGCGGCGACCGCGCGGCCGCCCCGGAGCCTCAAACCCTGCGCGCCCGGGACGGCCCGCAGCGCCGACCCCTCCCGCCCCATCTCGCACTCACGGGGTAGGCGTCGGAGGACGCACATCTGTCCCGTTAGAGACTTTTTCTCGCTCTGATTTGAGCGCCAAGCCGAGCCCCGTCGGCCCCAAAGGCTCCGCTGCAGGAGCCCAGTGTTGACCCCGGAAACTCACCGCCCTGCAACTGGGGCTCCAGTGCTGGGGCCTGAACCCGTCTATCCCGCCCCCCTCCACCCCCACCCCCCCGCGCTGCAGGAAGCGCCGAGCCCGCCCGCGTGGGGAGGGTCTACCCCGGGCCAGGACCAGCCCACGTGGGCAACCACCCCTCCCGCGCCAGGCCTTTGTGCTAGGTGCCCCCGCCGCCCGGCCCTGGGACAAAGCAGCCACCCCCGCCCAAGTAGGAACCCTGACTTTCTCTGTATCGCGGCCACTTTGGGGACAGGGGTGCGTGGCGCGGAGCGGGGGCCGCCCTCGCGGGGCTTACCTCGGAGCCGGAGCGGGGATCGGGCTCGGGCACGGCCCCCGCCCCCCGCGGCCGCCGGTCTCCAGCGCCTGGCGCAGCCTCGCCGCCTGTGCTCACAGCGCGGGTCGCTCCGGTCTCGTCCTGGAGTTACTTTCTCCCTCGCCCCCAACCCTCCCCCCCACCCACCCCTCCCGCCCCGGCCCCCGCTTCGCGCGGCCCCTCGCGGCGCGGCGCGCCGGGGCCTCCCCACCCCGCCCTCCCCGCGCCTCCTCCCCTCCTCGCCGCCGCCGCCGCCGCCGCCGCCGCCTCTTCGCGCCGCGCTCCGGCCGCCCTCCCGCCGCTCCCACCTCCTCTCCGCTCTCCTCTCCGGCGGCCTTCCCTCGGTTGCCGGCGAGAAAACCAGCCCCACGCCCCAGCCCGCGGCCCGAGCCCCGTGGCGGCCGAGCCCGGACGCGGAGGGCAGCGATTCGGGCCCAAATCACCCGCGCGGCGGGCGCGAGCGGGCGCGCGCGGCGGCTCCTGGCTCGGGGCTCGCTGCGCCGCGGGGCAGAGGATTAGAGTCGCAATTAGCTCCGCGCGCCCGCGCCCGCCGCGCCCGGCGACGGAGATGCACTGTTTCCCCTCCTCTCGCCGGGCGACCCCCACCGCCTCCCGGAGCCCGGCGGTCCCGCCGGGGCCGCCGCCAGCACCTCCCGGAGCAGCGCCCAGGCCCGCGCCCCCCGCTGCCCAGGCCCCCGCCCCCCGCCAGCCGGCCACGCGGCGCCCGGGCTCCTCTGGGCTCAGGAGGGGGCGGGGGAGAAGCTGATTTTAATCATTGTCATTTCATCTGATGTAATATTTCCCCGGGCGCTTTCAGCTGGGCATAAATTTTCGGCTCCCAAATAAGTAACACAGGGCACGTTTCTCACATTTCTTGACTCCTCGGTTACAAAGAGGAGCGCTGCCGCCGCCGCGGCGCCCGGGGCCGGGGGCGGGACTTGGGGAAAACTGGGCTGCGAGTCGGCCGGGGCTGGAGCGGAGCCGGGGGCCAAGTCCACCCCTCCCCCTCCCGGCCCGCCTCCCCGCTCAGCCCGGCCCGCCTCCCCTCTCCCGTGGGGCCGAGCCGCCCGTGACGTCTGCGGACACGCGGGCGGCCACCGCGGGGAGGGGCGCGGGGCCCGGCCGGCCGCCCCGGGCCAGGCGCGCCATTTCCTCCCCGCGCGCGTGGAGGAGAGAGACGTCCGCGGTCAGGACACCCCGCGGCGCCCAGGCCAGCGCCCCGGGCGTCCCTCCCGGGTCCCGGCGCCGGCTGCCCCTTCCGCCTCCCCTCCTGCCTCCTCTGTCCCTGCCTCCGCTCTCCCTGGCGCCCCGCCCGCCCCCCACACCCTTGGACCGTTTCCCGGCTCCTAGGAAACGGAGCGCGGCGCCGCGTGTTTGCTGGGCCCGCACTCCCCCCCCCCCCCCCCCCCCGCGTCCGGCTCCCGGGGCGCCGCGGCTTGGCCGGGCCGGTGCGGGAGGGAGGGGGTGCGCTGGGGCCCCCACCCCGAGTTCCAGCCGTCCCTGGGCGCCCTCTAGCGGCCTCGCTCACTCGGGGCATGAGTGAGGGGTTGGCAGTGGGGGTGTGTGTGTGTGGGGGGGGCGCTTGTAGGAGGTGGACGGAGTGGGAGGCCTGTTTCTCTGGACTCGAGAATCTCGCGCGTGGGAAGAGCGCCCGGACCGCGCTTCGGTAACTTCTCCACGCGGGACTAAGCAGAAACTTTCCTCCTAGGGGGGAAGACGTTATTTATTATTTATTTATTTATTCTAGAGCTTGAACTGCAGGAGAAGGGGGAAATTTTCTCATTAAAGTTACATCCCTGCAGTTAGTTCAATTACTTGATATATGCAGAAGATGTTGTAAATTTATAGATTTAAATAGCTTATAAGGATGCCGCAGGCCCCATCAGTTAATATCCTTAATTTATGGATTTTTAGCTGCTCCTAGAACAGAAAGGGACGGTGGAAGTAGGTCAGGGATCTGTGCA